GCGCCCCCAGACCCCTGCCACTTCGCTCGCAGACAGCCCCCTCCCCAAACTTGCGAGCGAAGGAAGCGGGCCACAGAATTTAGAAAAAAACGCATCTGGGAGGAAATATAAAACTTTCTGGATGTGGGGGCTCTTGTACTTATACAACTGATGTATAAAATGAACACGAATATTTTTCGAGTTGACAAATTCCTCGAACCAGTGGTGGTAGTAAGTCATACCAGAAAGAATTATTTCAATTGGGCACTCAGTGATTTAGCTATTAAGGCCAACGTATGGGTACTGACTTTTAGCCCCCCTGTATAATGTATAATCGCATGTATAATCGCATATATAATCGCATGTATTTAGCTATATGTTATGTATTCAGCTATATCCATGTCATAACACGGACGTAATTGTGTTAAGCCGCGGTTTGCACTTTCCACCAATTACATGTTGTACATTAATTGCCTTTTTTTAAACTGGTGTGGTGTTTATATCCTGGTTTGTTAATAAAGATTTAATAAACATGAAGTTCGCCGTCAACTGCTGTAAAATATTAACTTTTCACGGTACTGGATAACAACATGAACTATCTCTACAAACAGTTTAGTACTGACTGTGCTGACTCAGCTACAACTAATAATAAATAATCATATAGCCACAACTATACAAGGTGCCACTCAGCTACAACTAGCTGAGCCACAACTATAATACTAGGTGCCACAACAGCTAGCTAGGTGCCACTCAGCTACAACTAGCTGAGCCACAACTATAATACTAGGTGCCACAACAGCTAGCTAGGTGCCACTCAGCTACAACTAGCTGAGCCACAACTATAATACTATGTGCCACAACTATACTATGTGCCACAACTATACTATGTGCCACAACTATACTATGTGACTTACTTGACTTAAGGCGGCTTCAGCGTCCGAGTATTGATGCGCTGTCTCCATAAAACTCTATCCGCCATAAGTCCGCCCATTTCTCCAGTGTCGTTGAGACCCGTGTCAGCTCGTAGGCTATCAACATAGGTCATGGCTGGTCTCCCCCTACTCCGCACCCCATGAGTTGGTTCCCAGAGTAGCAAGCGGTTTGCGACTAGTTCTGGGTGCCGGTGGATATGGCCTGCTAGTCGCATCCTGCGCTCTTGGATCTTCATGGTTGCTCTCGGTAGGTTGCCATAGACTTCTTTGTTGGTTTTTCGCTGCTTCCAATCCACATTAAGTGCCATCCTTAGCATTCTAGTGTAGCAGCCATCAATGCGTTTCTTCAATTGCTCTGTCAACGTCCACGTCTCAGAACCATAAAGAAGTATTGACTCCACAGTAGCAACAAATAGACGGATCTTTAGTCCTCTTCTAAGGTCAGACTTCCACATCTTCTTTAGCTTGTGGCAAGCTGCCCAAGCCTTAGCTTTTCTGACCCGCAGGTCCCTCTCTGTTGTTGCTATCCAAGCTCCAAGGTAAACAAAGTCTGTCACCTTTTCCAGCTGGTTTCCAGAACAGCTATTAAGACTGCTCGCCTCCTCTGTCATGTTCAGAGTCATGAACTTAGTTTTAGTGCCGTTCATGGCTAGCCCAACACTCAGTGCTGCTTTCTCAAGCCTGTCCAGGAGTAGTTTTGCCCCTTCAATGGTATCAGTGATAAGGGCAACATCATCTGCAAACTCGACGTCTGCGATCTTCTCGGCACCAATCCTTCTACTCCGTGCAGGCCTGAGAGTGAACCCAGAGTCCGAGTCATCATCGTCTATAGTCACTGTCATGATATAGTCAATCACGATAATGAACAAGTACGGGGCTAGAGTGTCTCCTTGCAGTACTCCAGCCAGGATATCAAAAATTTCTGTTATACCATCGGCTGTAACTACTTTAGCCTTTGTGCTCGTATAGATACCCTCAATGAGCCGCACTATGGCTTCTGGTATGCCATATGCTTTCAATATCTTTATGAGCAAACCTCTATGCACACTATCGAACGCCTTTTTGAAATCAATGAAAACCATGGTGGCCTTAAGATTTTTGGCTCTAGCACCCTCCATAATTCTTCGTAGAGCAAGGATGTGCGATGTTGTAGAGCGCCCAGGTCTAAAGCCATTCTGGTTGTCCCTTAAAACTTCCTCAAGACTTGGCTTCATCCTGTTCAGCAACATTTTGTTCAGAGTTTTACTGACTATCGATGTCAGAGATATTCCTCTGTAGTTGTCGGTCTTAGTGAGGTCCCCTTTCTTTGGCACAGGAACAATATTGCTGAGCTTCCATTGATCGGGCATGAGACCATCACATAATGCATCGTTGCAGAACTTCAGGATGACGTCATCGATGTCCACCCTCTTCATCACTTCAGGTGAGATACCATCATCACCATAAGCTTTGCCTTCTACTATCTGCTTTTTGGCAAGACGTAGTTCCTCAATGGTGAACGGGCCATCCTCTATATTCAGTGGAGGGTGTATATTCCTGATCGGAATACTATTGTCAGGGACTGTGGGTGGCTGTCCAAGTAATCCAGGGAAGTACTTCCTCCAGTTCTCGAGACGTTCTGTTGAGCTGCCCCCTTCCACGAGTCCACAGCTGGGATTTGTCCTCCCTGAAATATCGTTGACAAGCTTCCAGCTTTCCTTGTTCTTACAACGATCAGCAGTATCCTCAACTTTCCTGATCTTTCCTTTCAGGATCTCCTCCTCTACCTCTTTGTAGCAGGCCTTTAACAAATCCTTTTTAGTGGCGACTTCCTCTCTCTTCTCCTCACAAGGCTCCTGATGGTATTGGTCCTTGGCCAAGAACAGTCCCCTCCTTGCACTGTCCACTCTTGGGTCACTTGAGGGGTCAATCTGCTTTTGTCGAGTCTTCTTTGGCAGAAGGCTCTTGTTTGCCGCCTCAATAGCAACCATAAGCTTCCCGTAGCTTTCAGTGGCCCCATCATCCTCCTCTACCAGGCCAGAGAATCTATTCCGAACTTCAATTGCATACTTTTTTTGAAGCTCACCATCCGACTTCAGGGCACTATAATCATAGTTAACTTTTTTCGGAGGCCTGTGTCCTTTCCTAAAGCTAACTTTGATCTTACACACTACAACTCTGTGATCAGATCCCAACGACTGAAAAGTGTTGTAAACTTCAGTGTTCTTTAATGAGTTTTTCCACTTCCGCCGTATGAGGATATAGTCAATCTGACCTTTGTTAAGTGTCCCATCGGATAAGAAGGTCCACCTCTTGTTGACCTTCTTTCTGAAGCGGATATTGGTAATTTCCATATCACACTCCAGGGCAGTGTCTCTCAGTAGCTCTCCATTCCGATTGGTACGAGTATGAAAGTACCAACGGGAATCTTCTTCACTCTCCTTTCCAAGCCGGGCGTTCATATCTCCCTCTGTGATCAGCAGGTGGTGCGCTGGCACATCATTCATAGCCTGTCTAAGGGTGTTATGGAAATCCTCCGCTTCTTCAACTAGTGCTGCCTCGGTAGGACTATAGGCAGTTATAGTTGTGAGTCTGGGATTTCCGTTGAAAGAGATAGTCAGCACCCTTGAGCCATAGGGTTTAATGAGGCTGATTGCGCTGTATGCTCTTCTAGTCAGCAGAAAGCCCACTCCACCAGTGGCTGCTCCTGCTCCATTCCTCCATGCTGAAACAGTTACCAAGCTAACCCCCTCCTTGAACTTTTCGATCTTGATCGGTTCCTGGTGGACAATCCTATGTTCTTGGATCCCAAGGATCTCCATGCCACTCTCCAGAAACTGAGTCACGAGTTCAAGGCGCTTGTAACCTTCTCTAGCAGTTCGGACATTAAATGTCCCTACTAGAGCTACCTCACTACAAGAAACCAATGCATCCCCATCCTTTTTTTGTTGTTTTATGTTATTTTTTGTGCCGGGTGAAGGAGCCGGCATATCATCTGTCACCCCTCTCCTAGGGAGTTTTAGGGTGAGAGAGTCATCAATCCGGTCCCCTCCGACATCTAAATCAGTGGTAGGGACTTTAACCCTAGTGTTATTATAAGACATCATCAAACTTTTCAATGGCTGGTGTCTCATGCGCAGTCCCCTGCACATCAGGCGAAGTGAGACACCTACTTAACGCCGGGCGCCACTTGAGCGTTAAATGACTTATCCATCTTGGCCACGTGAGTAACAACTTCCGCTAGAACACTTGTTGCTACTAATCAGTAAGAGTGGGTTTTGTGATGATGTCCTGTCGTTGTATTATTTCTTCTTTCTTCACCAATTCCAGTAAATGACTATACGCTTTTGTCCCAAAGCTTAGGGAGATTAGAGTGTGAGCCAAGGCTCCACTTTTACGGGAGCTAACCTTCCCCCTGACTACCTCGTTACCCCAGGCATGGGGGGCCGATCCTGTTACCAGAGCGTGGTCCAGTTTACCTGGGTCATAGAAACAAGGTCAGAGGCAAACGGCCAATACCTCTTTAGCTACTGTTCACTCCACAGCCGGGGGAGTCACTGATTCTCTGCACCTCTCTTCTCTTGAGGTTTAGAGTTAGGAGACAATTATGTGATCCAATAATTGAAATCCGCGGGGGTCAGTGAGCCTCCCGTCGCCCTTCGCTGCCTTTAGCCTGGAGATCACCACTGTTCATCCAGTTTCCAGTCTTCACCACGAGGAGGTATCAGGATAGGACTTGTTGTGGAGAGGCTTCATCTTGCTGTTCGATGTGGTACTGGAAAAGGGCACCAACGGAGTAGCCCTTTTTCGAGGTTCTGGCTGCTGCAGGCAGATCCAGGGTCTCTATCCAGCGGTGACGCTTTGGGTCACCTGCGCTTCACACAACCATTGGAAGACCAAAACTATGTGCCACAACTATACTAGGTGCCACAACTATACTATGTGCCACAACTATACTATGTGCCACAACTATACTATGTGCCACAACTATACTAGGTGCCACAACTATACTAGGTGCCACAACAGCTCACAACAGTTGTAGGGGCAGTGTTAAACAGCTCTACACAACACACATCACTAAGAGAGTAGTAGTAGTAACTAGAGTTAGTGATGGGTACATTTCTTCAAACATGGCGAGCATTAAACTCTATTTTAGTTGGACTTGTTAAACCTCACCAACGCGAATGATATTAGCTGGATCTTTAGTGTAACCTTCGTTTTAACGCTGGTTTTACTTATTATAATGTATAAAGTTATTATATGTATTATTATATATAATTTATAATATATGTATAAAATTTATAAATCTATACTTGAGACAATGCTGCCCGTTGACACATCCAAAGTCTTTTAACTGTACTGTACTGTAATTGTAAAGATTATAATCAAAACAGTGCGATTGAGATGTCATGCTCTTTTCATACTTTAAAATTGTAAAGAATTACTTTATATTCGAGCTTTTCATCTAGAATTAATACAAATTTTTCATATTACGGAGCAGGGTGTGGACTGGCTACAGTGTAGCCAGTAGCCGCTACACCTGGTTAAAACTTTTCCATTCCATTACATGATACTCAATAAATGTGATAGATTTATAGTGTTGTAATTAGTTTAAAACCATAGTTACACTACCATATAAGGTTATGTAACCATAGTTACACTACCATATAAGGTTATGTAACCATAGTTACACTACCATAATATAAGGTTACATGACAACAGCACGATTGACATTATTTGCACACTTTAAATTGTGCAGCACAACTTGTTGACATGCAGAACCTAGAAACTAGAGAACTTTTTAAATCTCTTTCAGCTGATTTGTAATTATATAACTAAGCATTTAATAAGTGCGGTTTAAATATTTTATTAAATATCAGACTAATAACTTACTGTATTTTCTAAAACATTTCGCACAATCTGGACGCTATCTTTTGTTCAATGTTTCATAACTTAATTAATGAAAGAAGAATGACACATTATTATTGCGTGTGAAGGTGTGGTTAAGCTGCATACTGTCAACACTTATTACAGTGCTACTACAATGTATTACTACAGTGTATAGGGTAGAGGTATACAATATACACTACATCTAGCTACAATGGGGTATAGTTTAAAAATCTAGCTGTACAGTGTACAGTGTACAGTACACCGTATAGTATAAGTAGTAACATAATATACAAGATATGATAATGGTAACAAGATATGTTGGACTGTTTACCACTGAACTAGGTATAATATTCTAATCCCATCTGATCCTGGTAATAACATACCACATAACATACCACATAACATACCACATAATTATGGTAATAAGATCTCTATTACTTTACTATCACTATACTTATACTGGTTATCCGACTAAAGAGTACTTGTGTCTTGTCGTACTAGTAACAAGTCATATTACATATTGGTTTAATAAACACTTCACAGAATACCTGGCTACCAATAAACACTACAACTTGATCATGTTAGACATAATAATATAATAGTAGATATAAGTACTTATAGATAAATGAGCCAATCAAGTTAGAGTGTCTCTGATATTCCTGTTCCTTAGGGAGGTTTTAAGCTGCATTCTTTAAATTCCTTAACTAAGAGTCACACCAGGACATCTAAATTAGCTACTTATAATTTTACTAATATTATGTAATACATATATTGGTTAAATTATAACATAGCCTTGTCAGATTTCAGGACAGCAATTAACTTAAAACATTTATGTCTTAAAAACCTTGAAGAGCTCTGCGGACTGCGAGTAATCGTCGTAAGATCGATACTGAGTTCAAACAGTCCGGGTCCTTAACTGCAAATTCGGACTTTCAAAGCTAAGGACCCGGCATATTGTACCATCCTGATAAGACACCATCATGGCTGGACTATTAGTAGATGCAGATGTGTGGGAATTATGTCCCGATATATTATGGCACTGTTACCATAGTAACACTACTATGTTACCATAGTTTCACTACCATATAAGGTAAAGTGAACATGTTGACAAGTCACGAGGAGTGATTGGATATTTATGATTAGTCGCCAGATCGTATTATTCTCTACCCTGTTAATCTTATTCGGTTATTTCATTATACTCACTTTTTGTTCCTATTCTCAGATTTATATCAGCTCAGAAGAGAACAGGGTAAGAGTCCCTTATTTAGTACAACTTTATACTTATTTAGTACAACTATTTAACTAAATTATAAATTATAATGAATTATTACTATCATATTTTCTGATTCACTTCTGATTCTGGAGTTTTATTAATAATCAAATAATTATCACTCTGAGCTGATTTTATCACTGTAATTATTATACCAAGCTGTCTTCTTCGCTGATTATTAGAAAATTAGAATAAATAGCACAATAGCAATAATATTCTGATTACGATACTTAATACTGATTATTATATAGTAGATTCCTGATTACTTTCTCGATCAATGATTACAGATTACCGTTTAAAGGTGAATTACAGTGGGTTCTACACAGTAGTCAAAGTTTAAATTATGTATTATTTCTTAGTTAAAACCACTAATTATTCACATAATGTATTATTTCTAAGTTAAAACTACTAATAATACACATTCAGCTCCCTTTCTACCTCCTTATTTTGCGTTACTTTCTCTAGTCCGTGCAGGCTGCTTTACTTTAACTGAACAGGAGTTTACAGTATTTTCATTACTAAGTGTTGACGACCTGTAATATAGTAATATTATAAATTTATAGTAATATTAGTAATATTATAACGTAATAATATTATAATATCGTTATATAGCTTCCTTGTACATGATCTTCATAATATGTAATAGAACAAGATATTGTAATCACACGAGTTTATAAATAACAATCAAGATCTTGTAAATACAACACAGCTATTTTACTTGATACCAAGCAGATTTACAGTGTACATTATACAATACAATCTACACAGTACGATCTACACAGAACACTCGCTCCGGAGTTTGAGGTATGCTCACTGTGCACTGTCTTACACTGTGCAGGTTGAGGTATACTCACTGTGCACTGTCTCACACTGTACAGTTTGAGGTATACTCACTGTGCACTGTCTCACACTGTACAGTTTGAGGTATACTCACTGTGCACTGTCTTACACTGTACAGGTTGAGGTATACTCACTGTGCACTGTCTCACACTGTACAGTTTGAGGTATACTCACTGTGCACTGTCTCACACTGTACAGTTTGAGGTATACTCACTGTGCACTGTCTCACACTGTACAGTTTGAGGTATACTCACTGTGCACTGTCTTACAATGTACAGTTTGAGGTATACTCACTGTGCACTGTCTTACACTGTACAGTTTGAGGTATGCTCACTGTGCACTGTCTCACACTGTACAGTTCTAGAGATCGTATTGTATAATTTGGTGCAACCACTCTATCTAAAGTATATAATTTGTAATACGGCACCCGTAATAGAGTTCTATATTGTCTGAATAACGAATTATCTGTACAAATTATGCACATAATACGTCTAATATTATGTGTTAACTTGATAAAATACGTGTATTTTACCAATATCACGTGATACTCACTACCACGTGATATAATATGTTAGTTAATATTAGGTTATCTGGTTAGGAACAATCTGCGAACTACTGGATTGGAGATTGCATTATGTATTGTTATAGTGTCGATGTTAAAGTGTAGTATTATGTTCGGATAATATAAATAGAATGTGTTATTAAGCTTAATAAATATTAGGTTATCACTTCGAGATGGCCAGGCCTACTCTCATGCTGTCTATATGTGATGATTAACTCTGAAAAACTAGGGACAACTGGGGAATGATCCCAGAACCTCGAGATTTCGCGTCTCTTGCTCTACCAATTGAGCTACTGACCCTGATTCTCAGAGCGAAATCACCACTCATATACAGCACAATTTCATGCTTTGTGTGGAATATCATTTTATCAGTTATTTAGAATATATATTCGCATTTTATCCACACTATATTTACATTACACGTACAACGTGATATCGTTATCAGTGCAGTGTGTACAACACCAACTACACCGATCAATTGCCAATCTGCGAAACATTTAATTATTATTATCACTTCGAGATGGCCAGGCCTACTCAACTGGCCTGGCCATCTCGAAGTGATAATAATAATTAAATGTTTCGCAGATTGGCAATTGATCGGTGTAGTTGGTGTTGTACACACTGCACTGATAACGATATCACGTTGTACGTGTAATGTAAATATAGTGTGGATAAAATGCGAATATATATTCTAAATAACTAATATTAGGTTAATAAAGATAATAATTATATGAAGCTTACATAATATAACCTGTTGAATATTTTATCTAATAAACTGCCCTGGTTTAAGAGTGTTCAGATTTTTAAAGGAATTTTGGGTTTTACTAACTTTTTACAATTTTTAGGGCTTATGTCACTGAAGATGACGCCTTGCAACATGTTTGACGATAGCCTGTAGATTGATAGTTTGATCGGCAAGTTTCCATAACTAATTTTTTGTGATCAGCGGTAATAACCGCTTTTTTTACGCTAAAAAAGCGCTTATTGATAAAACCCACCGTTATTTGGCGATTATAAAGCGATTATAAACGGTCCCGTTAATAAACGGTTAAAAACGATTATAATCGCTTTTTCCATAAAATATTTTTGCAAAAGCGATTATTAGCGCTTTAAAAGCGATAATAAATCGCGAATTAAAATTATTAGTGATAAAAAAACGCTTTTATTTTAGGGTTGTCGATTATTATCGCTCCGTAAGCGCTTTTCAAAAAAACGCTTATAAACCGTTTTTTGGACCGTTTTTAAAACGCTTTTAATCGACTATAAGCGATTATATTCACTAGGGAAAGTTCCAAATTAAAAAGCGCCTACTAATCGTTAAAAAAACGCTTTTTTATTTTAAGTTAATAAGCGGTTTAAATCGATTATAAAACGATTATAAGCGACAATAAGCGATTTTTTGAAATCTGCTAAAAAGCGATATTTTCACTATGATCAGCGCTTATAACCGCTTTTCTTGAAATTTTCCTACTGAAAAGCGTTTATAAGCGCTTATTTATTTGCTGTCTATAAGCGATTATAAACGATTATAAGCGCTTTTTTACGTATTTGAAACGAGGAAAAAATTGTCAGGTACGAGATATTATAAGCGATTATAAGTGATTATAAAGTATCGTAAATGTTATTGTCTTCAATTGTCGCTTATAAGCGATTATAAACGATGAAAAGCGCTTTTTGACGCATTTTAAAACTATGATCAAAATATGTTTTGATTTGATTTATTTGGGGTATATAAGCGATTATGTAAGCGGGGTATATAAGCGATTATAAACGATTATGAGCGCTTAATTTTTTACGTATTTGGAACGAGGACACAATTAACAACAAAATTACGCGATATTATAATAATAGTCCAGTTATTAATGGACATTTATGGAAATAAACCTGCAAATTTTCAGATAATCAAGAAACTTTGCACAGACCTTCCAAAAGGTATGAATAAACGATTTTCGGTTGGAGACATTTTTTTACCATGGGGAAAACCCAGGAGGGCCACGCCCATATTGATCCAATAATGTAACTGACCCTTTGCTTCTGAAAGTCGTAGAGACTTCAAAATAGGCTTAAACGAAGCCGCATATATGCATGTTTATATAGAAGTTATTGATGAACACATGGCCTAAAATCCTTACTTTTCGAGAAATTCGCCAAAAACCATTTTGGGCGTGGCGCTGAGCCCATTTTACTAACTTTTGATATGATCGTGATAGAGTCTTCGGATAGAGTGCAAAAGAACCGCAATTGGCATATTTATATATGACTTATGAAGAAACATGTGCCTTAAAGTGCTTACGTTTTCAGTTATTGGCGAAAAACTGATTTTCGGTTCCAGAAATCATGCAAAAATATGGGTATCTGGTAAATTGGGCTATGAAGGCCCTAGAGATTTTTGAATGGGTGCAAATTGTGCAAAATGGCCATGTTTATATACAACTTATGAAGCAATATGTACCCTAAAATGCTCACTTTTCGAGTTATTAACATAGAACGGGAGGCAAAAATGGCTGATATAACCAATTTTGCTCTATTTCATAAAAATTTTCTCTGGTTTTCCCCCAAATAACTCGAAAAGTGAGCATTTTAGGGTACATATTGCTTCATAAGTTGTATATAAACATGGCCATTCTGCACAATTTGCACCTATTCAAAAATCTCTATGGCCTTCATAGCTCAATTTACCAGATACCCATATTTTTGCATGATTTCTGGAACCGAAAATCAGTTTTTCGCCAATAACTGAAAAAGTAAGCACTTTAAGGCACATGTTTCTTCATAAGTTATATATAAATATGCCAATTGCGGTTCTTTTGCACTTTGTCCGAGGACTCTATCACGATTATATCAAAAGTTAGCAAATTGGCTCAGCGCCTCGCCAAAATGGTTTTTGGCGAATTTCTCGAAAATTAAGGATTTTAGGCCATGTGTTGATCAATAACTTCTATATAAACATGCATATATGCGGCTTCGTTTAAGCCTATTTTGAAGTCTCTACGACCTTCAGAAGCAAAGGGTCGGTTACGTTATTGGGTCAATATGTGCGTGGCCCTCCTGGGTTTTCCCCATGGTAAAAAAATGTCTCCAACCGAAAATCGTTTATTCATACCTTTGGGAAGGTCTGTGCAAAGTTTCGTGAGTATCTGAAAATTTGCAGGTTCATTTCCATAAATGACTGGACTATAAGCGATTATAACTATAAGGTATTATAAATGACATAGCTCGGCGCGCTCATACTAAATCGCTCGCCCAAATTTTAAGAAAATTCTTGTGAAAAGGCCCTTTGGGTATGAAATTGATCTGAATCGATGTATTTTTGGACGCTAATTCCGAATCGCCCCCCATGACGTAGGGTAAAAATGCTTCCCTGGAGAGTTATAAGCAAAAAAAACCGTTTTGGTCACGTGACAGGCTAGTAAAACATGAATTCTAGGAAAGCTTGGGATTTTTTGCACATCTGCCAATATTTTCGCAGCAAATTGGAAATAAAAGATATATCTTTTGCCGTCATGACGATAATTTGCGTTTTGATTTTTAATAATTTGCGTTTTGATAAATTACAACCGCTTCTTAATCTTGAGTT